TCTTCTAACTGAAGTTCCTTCCTGTCCTGTGTATCTGGAATGACCCCAAATAAAACATTGGATTCTTCAGTACAAATCATCAAACCATGACTGGTAAAACACACTTTAAATGATGTGATCTTATACCAGTGTATCCTTTCCTGCTCCTTCCAAAGTTCTCCAATTTTCTTATTTATAACTGAGTTACTGAATTAAAAAGCGCTTGGTTTAATTAGCGCACCAGCACACAGACAGAAATTAACAGAAATGGTCACTAAAAGGTATCCTAGAAGAGATGTTAAAGAAGGTGCAGATTTACAAAGCAAGCGATTAGCTGCCATAATTGCAGTGAAGATCAACACGCACCTAATGAGGTCTTGTAAAGCATTCCAGTGGTGTGTGCTGGCGGTCCTGCTGCTTGCTGTAAGAACTCTGGGAATTCTGGGCCCCGTTTGGCTGCATGGGCATCCACAGCCTCTCTGGGCAGCCTGTGCCAGCACCTCACCACTCTCTTGATAAAGAACTTAATAAAGTAGTATTGTTAGAGCTTAGAAAAGACAGAAACAGATAGATGGAAGTGTTGGGGGAACATAATGGGGAAGGCTGGAAGGCTGACTTTTCAGTAGCTTTAGGGATTATGATATCAAGAGGCAGTAGACAGCTGTTGATGGAGTCGGGGCTTATTTTGATATATGCAACTGAACTGAACTGAACTGTTTCTTCTTCACAGCTAACCTAAAGCTCCTCTCTTTCCATCTAAAGCCATCCCCCTGTGTCCTACCAATATCAGACCACGATTACACTCCTGCTCACAAGCTCCCCTAAGTACTGGAAGGATATTAACACAACTCCTCTTCTCTGATAAATTAAGGTAGTTCCATTGCGCTAGCAATGTCCAACCCCAGACCAAGCAGGGGCTCATACCGCAGAGCTCTAATGCCACATACACGGAGCTGCCACGAGAGAGAGCCTGGAAACCGCAGGCCGGTTCTGGGTAGCCGATCATCCAAAGGAACACACCGCATACTGCTGCACTTAAAGCATTCAGGCTGTAACATGTCAGGTTCGTCAAATCTTTGCCAACGGTTCTCTTTTTCGGCAAAGCATGTCTTTATTCGCCTGGTCTCTCCCTTGACCCAAAGAAGCGCTCGTGGAAGAAAAGTACGTCTACAAAATCAAAGCGCCGCTGTAGCGTTTGGTTTTACGCTGCAGAGAACCTCCCGAACTGACAGCGATGGCGGGACGGCTGCTCCAAGGAACAGCTCCCAGCCAGCCGGGTGCGCCCGCGTCACCGTGTGCGCCGGCGGGGCGGGGCGGGGCCTGGCGGCGCGGGCCACCGGCAGCGCCGCTCTGGGCAGCCGCAGCGCGGGGCGGGGCGTCGGCCTCCTTCCCGCTTCCCGCTTCCCGCTTCCCGCTTCCTGCTTCCGCTCGGTAGCGCGGCGCTCCGCGGGGTGGCGGTACCGCGGGGCGGGGGGCGGCCGGGGCAGGAGGCGCCGGCGGGAGGAAGGCGAGAGGCGGCGCGGTCCCCCCCTGCCCGCGATGCCGTCCCGTTGCCGCCGCCCGCTCTCCGGGCGGGGCTCCCCGAGCCGGGCGGCGCGCTGCCGGGGCCGGGCGGCGCCGGGCGCCTCTCCCTCACGAGCTGTGTCTTCTCTCCGCAGGGACCTCGGTGCTGCCCGTCCTTCGCTTGCCGTGCCCGCGGCGCCGCCCTCTCGCTGGTGCAGGTGAGACGTGGCCGTGGGCAGGGGGCGGGAGGAGGCCGCGGGGCTGCGGCGTGGCCGGGCCGCGTGTCCGTGCGCGGCTGGTGGTGACGGAGGCCTCGGGCTGAGAACCCTCCGCAGTGAGACTCGGAGAAAGACGAACCTTTGTTCCCGGTTCTTGTTCTGAAAGCAGCTCGTGCTTTTTCCTGTGTATTTGCAGGTCTGCCGCATAAAATAACTCGTTTTTTGTTTTATAAGCGAGGGGACTGGGATTGTCTAGTCTGGAGAAGAGGAGGTTCGGGGCAGTCCTTACCGCTATCCGCCCTGCCTGAAGGAAAATTGTGTCGAGGTTGGGGTCGGCCTCTTCTCCGTGTAATAGAGACACGACAGGAGTTGATGGCCTCCAATCGCACTGGGGCAGGTTCAGGTTGGATGCCACGAAGAGTTTTGTCTCAGAGCAGTGAGGTATTGAAACAGGCTGCCCTGGGAGATGTGGAGTCACTTCACTCGCTGGAGGTGATCAGGAGCCATGTAGATGTGGCAGTGAGGGACACAGTCAGTAGGCATGGTGGTGATGGTTGCACTAGATGATCTTACTGGTTTTTCCAGCCTTTATGATTCTGTCATTTATATTATACTTGTATACTATGCAGTGCTTAACTCTTAGCAAAAACAAAACCACAAGTGATGAAAAAAAATGGCTTAAAATGGGAATGTGTGCGTATGTGTGCACTTCAGTTTTTCTGAATACTCAAACTTCTTTTTCTACAGTGTCTCCCCTGTAAAAAAGTGGCTGAGATGTTTGACGTGAAGGCTTGGGCTGTGTACATTGTGGAATGGGCTGCCAAGGACCCCTATGGTTTCCTCACTACAGTGATCCTGGTCCTCACGCCCCTGTTCATCATCAGTGCAGCACTGTCGTGGAAGCTTGCAAAAATGATTGAGACCAGGGAGCGAGAGCAGAAGAAGAAACGGAAACGCCAGGAGAACATTGTAAAGGCCAAACGAGCAAAGAAGGATTAAATGGGCAAGAAAGGCCTTCCTTGGGCAGAGAATTCACTTTATTATTGAAGCACTGCTGTACGTTTTGTGTTGTAACCATCCTTTGATACTTGATGCTGTTGTTTCTTGAATTATGAAATTTTAACTTCTGCTGAAATCATCTGTGTTAGAAGCTGCCCCAGTGGCACAGTCACTTCATCTGCTGCCTATGTTTCTGTGCAGACTGCTTCTCCAGATTTGCATGTTATATTTAAAAATGAAATAGTCGGGGAGCTTTAGGGACATATCCTTTTCTTTAGCTGAGCTATGACTCAAAAAGAGTCCAATTATGGGGATAATGTAAATGACTCCTTAATGCTATGACCTTTGGTTTCTCAGTGTAGCACATGCTTCTCCATTGCAGCAGTAGTTCACATTGTGCTTACGTGTATTTGCAGTTCCTGGTTTAACTGGACTATGGGAAGGGAGGTTCTGGTACACCTGCAGCAGAGCTGTGGAGCATTTGTCTTCCGAGATTCTTGTTTGCTGTTGTTTTACTGACACACTTTCATATGCAGTGCATATGGCTGTGCAGTTCATTCACTGCATGCCCATCAGGTCTGCAGTAGCTCAGTTGGGGGGCTTGTCTGCACATGAACCAAACTGACTTCTCCTGTTTCCTCTACAACCCATCCATCAGCAGTCTTCAAGTTCAGCCCAAACTCTGGGAAACTAATTTCTTGTCTTTAGTACCTTCTTTTGTCTGAGGCTACTCCTGTACACTACAGTGTTGTTTGGTTTTCCCTAATTATCACCTGAACTGTCCATCTCTAACTTGTTTGTCTGCAGAAGATTTTTTGCCTCAAAGAATAGCCATAAGTGGGATCAGATGAAGGGCCCAGGTGGCCTCGAGTTCTGTCTTTTGTGACCTGTAGCAGTTGGCCATGGGAGACTACCCAAGTAGAATATGCATACTGGTGACACAAGTTCTTCCGACTTGCTGGCCCTCTAGCTACCTGCGCTTTAGGACCTTCTGAGTTTAGGTGGTATTATTTTGCTCTGACAGCTCCTGAAGATCTGCTGTAACCCAGATTACAAAATGCTGGCATAGCAGAAACAGTCCAAGTGAAGTGTCTGTTGTAAATATGCAAAAAAACTTTAACCTTAATTCCAATTCTCCTTTTTCTAACAAATGGTTAATTTTTCACAGCCTGATTTTTTCAGCCTAATTCTAAAGAGTTTGTGGAAGTCATTAGGTTTTTACACTTAGCATATTTCTAAATGGCAGCACGGAGCTGTTCTGTCCAGCAACCAGTCCGTTATATGGTTAAAAGTAAAATCTTCAGATAACATCCCGTTCAGCAGAGACTTACAGAGCTGGCTGATAGCAGCAGGATAAAGGGGAAGTTTTACTGCAATGACTTGAAGTAAATATGAAGTACCTACCTGCAACCAGTATCTGATGACCATCTTTCAGTTCCGTTGGTCAGAACAAGTGTTATTGGAATTATGTTTTGACACTTCATGGTACATGAAATCAAGTCACCGCTCTTGGAAATGTTGTCAAATGTGTATGTGTTCCACCTTTGATACCTAGATAGTTTAAAATGCGTACCTACATGGTTTAAAATAAATTTGATACTTTTTCAAAATATGCTTTTTAAAAAGGTGGTGTGACTTTTATTTTGATTTAAAGTTCTCAAACATTTCTAAGCAAGTAAAAATTAATTTTTGGGGTAGATATCAGGAATAACCTCTTCTCCCAGAACCACTTAGCTATTTTTTGTTTGCCTTACTCAAGGCTTCCAACCTCTCTTAAAATAGTATTAAACAGTTTAACTCAGACTGAATCTATCCCCTGCTTACTGCTGGTAGCAACTCAAACGTTATTCAGATACATTAATTCCTTTATTAAAATAAATCACAAGAATGTCTGAAATTACTGCAGTATCACAATGATTCCTGTTAGTGAAACAAACTTTTCTGTCCAATTATCAGAAGCTTGAAAGTTCAGCATACGGGTTCAGCCCTGGAAACTAACTGGAATTAAGAACTTCTTTTAACACCTATGTTTGAGAAGATAATGTATGTGTACTGATCAACTGAAATTTACTACATCAAACACAAAGATAAATCCATCTTCAAGAAAAAAGCAATTTAGAGCCATTTGAAAAAATTACCTAGAAAACTTATCTTTAGTGATCTAATGAATACCAGGAAAAGAAACAAACACTTGAGAATGAACTTCCTCAGTAACCCACCCTGTTTTCCACTGAATTAAAATGTGTTGTAGCAATATGGCACAATTAAGCCTCTCTGAACAACTGCAAAAATAAACGAAACTTGGATTTAATACTACTTTATTGCATGGCCACTATACATAACAGTTGTTTACGATGCCTATTAAAGCATTTATCCGTTGGCAATGTTTGTACATCAAAGCTGGTTCTTTTTACTACTGTCACTTCCTGGTGGCATCCAGGAACCCGGCTGAAAGGAACCTGAAGTGCTTGCTGGGTCTTGGGATGGCTCTTTCTTTCCATAGTAGGGAGCTGACGCGTGGCCTTTAACCTGAGCATGAACTGGTTCAGCAACAAGTCCCTCCTTATATTCCTTGGTCTGAAGGAGCTTATCTTTTTCATACACATCTTTGACCTTCTGTTTCATTTCTTGTCTGTACATCTCATTCTTAAGAATCTCCTAAAGACAAAGTAGAAAGATAATTACACAGAGCAGAAGGAAATGCAATGCATGATGTTGCAAAGAAAAATTTTAAATGGTCACTGCTTTATTTTATTATCCAAATTTTCAAACATGTAAGTAAAATAAAACTTAACAAAATTGATTATTTTTCTACGACCAATTTCAGCCCTAGTTTACAGTGCCAATGTGTTGATTTGTTGGAAGCAAAACTATATAGTGATGCCCCAATTTCACTATTCCATTAGATCAAAAAGAGAAAGTAATTCACCAGTCATCAACAAATGCACTGAAAGTAAGTTACCCTTAACACTGTTTTCTATATAGCACTTACTACTTTATCACTGGTGTTCCTTCCTATAACGCAGTAGGCCTGTGACTTAAGGCATCTGTTGTGGGTGCAGTTTTGGGAAATGCAGATGGACAACATTGTCTCTTAGTATATAAGTCCAAACCAAAGCCAATAAAGAGTAAAATAAGTCTGAGGAGCTAGGGCAGACCTGGAATTACTGAGATGGAACTAGTAATTCAGGAGAAAAGCAAACCAACCAACCCTACACTAGCATAAAGAAAATAAAGGCACAAAACTGCCTGAGGTAAACCCTGCCCCAGAGATCCAGAAGACAGCTCTGCATGGCCAACACATCTCCAGCTGATTTCTTCTTGGCCAACAAAGGCCAACAGGGCATTGCAGCGTGGACACCACATGCACCAGTACTTAGGCTGTATGTTAACTCTGCCTATCTACCTCACATATTAGCCAAAGTAAATGTACTGCTTTTATAAACACTCTAAAATCACACCTAGTGCCTTTGCACAAGTAAAAAAAATCCACATTAAAGTGATGTGAAGGAGAAGCTTACCTCCTCACTTGGATCAACTGAAGCCACTACCCTATCTGAAGCACAGTCCTACTACAAAGCCAAAAAGCATTCACGACATATTCAGAGAAGGCTTGTAAAACTTGCTGATTCAACATTATAGAACTGTACAGAAGCATGGTTGGGTACAGGTTAAAACTGGAAATTCGCCAATAAAGCTGATCCTGTGAATTGCAACTTGTCTGCTTGAACTTGGAGCAAGTGTAATTACTGTCCTGTCCACAAGAATAATAGAAAAAACAGCTGCTTCAAAGGAACATACAAAGAACTCCCAACGAAAACAGCCATGGAAAATACAGATGTTTCTATTTTATCTTTTACCATATGCTCCCAAGTAGAAGGATGATTTGTACGTTCTGCTAACAAAACTTGCCTACACTCTTGTTATGGCAGACAGCAGAGAGTAATAGAAGAAAAAAGCAAAAATGTGATATGAATTTTTGTATTTTGAAATCAAAGACAACTTAATTGTAACCAGTGCCACTTAACAAGGAAGCTTAGAACTGTGATATTGGAGGAGAAAGTCTGTGCAGATTTCTCCAAGTTGCAAGTATATGGCAAAGAAGGAGAAATTAGACCAGTGCACTTCTTTCTCAGATTTTAGGAAGTGCATTAAGCTCTACGATGCTGCAAAAAGCTGAGAGAGCAAGTACATACAACATTTAAAACCACAGAATCACAGAATCATTAAGGCTCCGTCACCTCACTGTAGAGAAGTTCTTGCGCACATTGGTGCAGAACTTCCTATGCTGCAGTTTCCGGCCGTTTCACCTTGTCCTGTCTCCACTCACCACTGAAAACAGTCCAGCCTCGCCATTCTGCCCCCCACACCTTAGATATTTCTACCCATGGAGCTCCAAAGGAATCCCTGGGCTGTTCCACTGTGACCCCATCACGGTCCCTTTGTGACCCCATAGAGATTCACAGGGAAATGAGAACACTTCCATAGACACCCCATGGAGTTCCATAGAGACCCCATAGAGCTGCCTAGTGACCCAAAAGCAGTTCCAATATGACCCTGTAGAGCTTCTTAGGGACAGGCTAGGAGCCCATAAAGCTTCATGTGACTCCTTAGCAGTTCCCTGGGGAGCCCACAGAGCTTCTTAGGGACCTCAAAAGAGTTCCACAGACCCCAAAACAGTTCCATTACGACCTCATGGAGATCCATAGCAATCCCTGAGATGTTCTTCTGTGACCCCATCACGGTTCCCTTTGTGACCCCATAGAGATTCACAGGGACCAGAGAACAGTTCCACAGACACCCCATGGAGATCCATAGTGACCCCATGGAGATCCATAGTGATCCAAAAAAAGTTCCATTATGACCCCATGGAGCTCCAAAGGAATCCCTGGGCTGTTCCATTGTGACCCAATCACAGTCCCTTGTGACCCCATAGAGCTTCACAGGGAAATGAGAACACTTCCATAGACACCCCATGGAGTTCCATAGAGACCCACCGAGTTCCACAGAGACCCCATAGAGCTGCCTAGTGACCCAAAAACAGTTCCATTATGACCCCATACAGCTCCATGATGACCCCAAAACAGTTCCATTACGACCCCATGGAGCTCCATAGGAATCCCTGAGCTGTTCCTCTATGACCCCATCACGGTTCCCTTGTGACCCCATAGAGCTTCTTAGGGACCTGAGAACAGTTCCATAGACACCCCATAGAGCTCCATGGTGACCCCATAGAGCTGCACAGTGACCCCACTGAACTTCCATTCTGTCCCCATAGAGCTCCGCAGGTTCCACATAACAGGTCTATTACGACCTCAACGAGCTCCACAGCGACCCCCAAACACTTCCTTTATGACCCCATGGAGCTTCATAGGGACCCCATTAAAGTTCCATTGTTACCCCATCACAGTTCCCTTATGACCATAAGAGTTCCACAGTGATGCCATAGAGCTGCATACTGAATCAGTACAGCTCCATAGTGACCCCATAACAGTTCCCTTGTGACCCCATAAAGCTCCACTGTGACCCCACAAAAGTTCCATTGATACCCCTTAACAGCTTCTTTATGACCATACAGAGCTCCGCAGTGACCTCACAGAGCTCCATAGTGACCCCACAGAGCTCCATGGTGACCCCATTAATGTTCTATTCTTACCCCATAACAGCTCCATTACGACCGTAAGAGCTCCATAGTGACACCATACAGCTCCATAGTGACACCATAGAGCTCCTTAGTGACACCATACAGCTGCACAGTGACCCCAAAACAGGTCCATACTGACCCCACCGAGCTTCTTAGTCACCTAATAATAATTCTTTGCAGACTCCACGGAGGTCCAAAGTGCCTCTATAACAGGACCATTATGAACACATAGCAGCTCCATGGTGACCCCGTTGAGCTCCATAGTGGCCCCATAACATTTCCATCCTGACCCCATTGAGCTTGAGAGTGATCCCACAACAGTTCCGCTAGGAGCCCAGAGAGCTTCATGTTACTCCTTAGCAGTTCCCTGCGGAGCCCACAGAGCTTCTTAGGGACCTCAAAAGACTTCCACAGACCCCCCGTGGAGCTCCATAGTGTCCCCATACAGCTGCAGAGTGACCCCATCACAGTTCCATCATCACCCCTTGAGCTCCACAGTGTTGCCCTACAACTCCATAGAGACCCCATAGAGGTCCATGGTGACCCCATCACAGTTCCATTACCACCCCATGGAGCACCATAGGAATCACTGAGCTGCTCCTTTCTGACCCCATCAGAGTTCCGTTGTGACTCCATAGAGCTTCTTAGGGACCTGAGAAGAGTTCCATAGACATCCCATGAAGTTCCATAGAGACCGCATAGAGCTCCATGATGACCCCAAAACAGTTCCATTTTGACCCCATGGAGCTCCATAGGAATCCCTGAGCTCTTCCATTCTGGCCCCGTCAGAGTTCCCTTGTGACCCCAATAGAGATTCATATGGATCTGAGAACTGTTCCATAGACACCCCATGGAGTTCTATAGGTAACCCATAGTGCTGCCTAGTGACCCCACTGAAGTTCCATTCTGTCCCCATAGAGCTCCGTAGGTTCCACATAACAGATCTATTACGACCTCAAAGAGCTCCTCAGTGACCGCAAAACAGTTCCTCTATGACCCCATGGAGCTACATAGGGATCCCATAAAAGTTCCATTGTTACCATGTAACAGTTCCCTTATCACAGAATCACAGAATTGTAGGGGTTGGAAGGGACCTCCAGAGACCATTGAGTCCAACCCCCTGCCAAAGCAGGTTCCCTACAGCAGGTCGCACAGGTAGGCATCCAGGCAGGTCTTGAACATCTCCAGAGAAGGAGACTCCACCACCTCCCTGGGCAGCCTGTTCCAGTGCTCCGTCACCTCACTGTAAAGAAGTTCTTGCGCACATTGGTGCAGAACTTCCTATGCTGCAGTTTCCGGCCGTTTCCCCTTGTCCTGTCTCCACTCACCACTGAAAAGAGTCCGGCCTCGCCATTCTGCCCCCACACCTTGGATATTTATAGACCTGGATCAGGTCCCCTCTCAGTCTTCTTTTCTCAAGGCTGAACAGACCCAGTTCACTCAGCCTTTCCTCATAGCAGAGATGCTCCAGGCCCTTCACCATCTTTGTGGCCCTCTGCTGGACTCTTTCCAAGAGATCCCTGTCTTTTTTGTACTGGGGAGCCCAGAACTGGACGCAGTACTCCAGATGAGGCCTTACCAGGGCAGAGTAGAGGGGGAGGATCACCTCCCTCGACCTGCTGGACACGCTCTTTTTAATGCACCCCAGGATGCCATTGGCCCTCTTGGCCACAAGGGCACACTGCTGGCTCATGGCCAACCTGTCGTCCACCAGGACACCCAGGTCCCTCTCTGCAGAGCTCCCCTCCAGCAGCTCATCCCCCAACCTGTACCACTGCATGCAATTATTCCTCCCCAGATGCAAGATTCTACACTTGCTTCTGTTAAACCTCATCCGTTTTTTTTCTGCCCAGCTCTCCAGCCTGTCCAGGTCTTGCTGAATGGCAGCACGGCCTTCAGGCATGTCAGCCAATCCTCCCAACTTCGTATCATCAGCAAACTTGCTGAGGGTGGCCACTATCCTCTCATCAAGATCATTGATGAAGATGTTGAACAAGACCGGACCCAGCACAGA